GACAGACACACGCCGGCTGAGACCCAAGGAAGCACCGGGCTGGACTCAGGAGACAGAGTTGAAAGCAGGCTGGTGTTGAAGCCTGGATATCAGGAGACAAAGCAAAGTCCGGGTTTGCCGCAGAGCAGTCTGGTAAGTTGCCCACACACCTTCCTGAGGCAACCCCGAAGGTTCACTTTGGGCACTTGTCCCATGAGGGGGCAGTGCTGCCTGTGGCCCTCTACTCCCCACAGTGTTCCCGGGCTTCCGGGCACCCCGCTACTGGCTGCAGGTGTGGGCGCTAGTCCCCAGGTTCTGACACAGGCCTTCTTACCAGCAGCCAGATCTGTGTGGCACGGGCCAGCTCTGCTAGCCCCAGTAGCCAAGTGAACAGCCCAACAGTGTCCTGTCGCTTCCTAGGAGCCGGAGAGCGTCTGCTCACGGCCACACCCAACTTATGGACTGTCACGCAGTTAATGAGAGGGCACCGCAAGGATGCTGTAATCTACCCCAAGGAAACAGAACCTGAGACTGGATGCCGTGGGAATAACGTGCCCTACTGCTTCTCTCCAGGCTGAATAACAAGCCAGCTCTCGGAGCGGCAAGTGATGCCTAAACTCGCATTGCCGGGAACTGCAGAGAAGTTTGAATTTGCTTGGCCGCGTGCTCACTTGCAGCAAGACCTCGCTACATGCGACTCAAGCGAATGGCTGATCCTTCCAGCACAGTGACCACTGCAGTCTTCAAGAGCAAGGCATCTTGGCTGTTTCGTTCCAGGATAGCCCCTGGTATCCAGCACAGCCCTGGAAGTCTGCCCTTTGCTGCAGTGTGCGTTTTCTGAGACCGAGGAGGAGTTACTCTTTTGAAGGTTTGGACATGAGGCTCTGTTCTCTGGGGTTTATTTCCTTCCTCCCTCCAGGAAGTGTTAGTACCAGGCCCTCCAGCAGCATTCAGATTACTGTCACAAACAAGAACTACTGTCACCTCGTTCTCCTCGGTGATATTGTGCCTCTAGGGGACAGAAGTTTCAGACAAGAAGGTCATTTAACATTGCCACCAGCGAATCGTTCCCTCAGCCTTCTGCAGGAAACAACCTTAGGGCCTGTTTTCCAAGGACATCCTCAGCAACCAGCACTGATCTACCCGGCCCTTCCCAGGTTGGATCTACCCGGCCCTTCCCAGACTGGATCTACCCAGCCCTTCCCAGGTTGGATCTACCCGGCCCTTCCTAGGTTGGATCTACCCGGCCCTTCTCAGGTTGGATCTACTCGGCCCTTCTCAGGTTGGATCTACCCGGCCCTTCCCGGACTGGATCTACCCGGCCCTTCTCAGGTTGGATCTACCCGGCCCTTCCCAGACTGGATCTACCCAGCCCTTCCCAGGTTGGATCTACCCGGCCCTTCTCAGGTTGGATCTACTCGGCCCTTCTCAGGTTGGATCTACCCGGCCCTTCCCAGATTGAAAACAGATTAGCCACTTCCTCAGCCTTTGGGAGCAAATATCTTTAGACGACTGTGTCTTCGATGCTCTGGATCTGGGATATTTAGTCCAATTTGTTTCCACCTCCTCTTCCCTACGCTCCTGCTCTCTTCTTTTTCAGGGACCTGAGTCTGTGCTCTCTCAGGAGGGTCAGGCTTGCCTCACCCGAGAGCTCACAGAGTAAGTTCCCTCACTCTTTTCCCTGATCCCCAAACATTAAAGCAAAGCTAAGGCTGTTCTAGACCTCTGGGCTCTCAGCAAGTTCATCAAGCAAGTGAGATTCCACAGGGTTACCATAGCTTCAGTCCTCCATGCTCTAGATGGCAAGGGTTGGTTGGCTGCCCTTATGTAAACAGCATACGTACAAAGCATGGGGGTTTTCACGTGAATCCTGCGTTTTTTCCACAAACCCTTTTACACTGTATTTTGCTTAAAATATATCTTCTCATTTCTGGTTAACCCACATCCCTTCAAGTGTTAATGAGCTTTTTTCACAGGAGACTGAACCATTTCACAAAAGTGAGACAAAGCCAGTTTTTAGGAAAGCAAAGAGTTTGTTGGACTGGGGCATGAAGCTCCTACAAAAGATCTCAGACATTTGTAGCAATATTAGAATGAGATTACAATATTGACAAATTGCAATGGGGCTCATTTAAAACACAGATCAATCTTGCTTATCAATCTTGCTAGGAGTAAAACATTTAAGATATTATACCGCTGAAATCCTACAGGAAGGAAGTAGACTTCTGAAGCTATAAACAAAGTTTAACAGAAGTAGGAAGTAATTCAAAAGCTCTTATACTAGTGCTGGTGTAAAAATATTTAACCAGAGAAAATGTGCATGTTTTCCCCACTTTATTTATGTATTGGTTATTTGGAACAATAGCAGGTTGTCACACAAATCAAATACAGTATTTAAAAATCAATTTACAATGTAATTCACAATGCCACCGAGATAGTCATTACTCGTTTTTCAAAAATAGATCTTTCTGGATTTTTGTCTGTATTAAATAAATTTTCACCTTTATTACACTATAAATAGGGTATTTAATATTAGGTCAGAATCTGTGGAAAGTCCTACTGGATTCTTCCGCCCAAGGGCAGGACTCTGCTGTTCTCCTTGTTGAACCTCATCAGATTTCTTGTGGCCCAATCCTCCAATTTATCTAAGTCACTCTGGACCCTATCTCTTTCTATCCACCTTACAGGCCATTTATCCAATCCATAGTCCCTTCACTTGCTGGCAAGAATATTGTGGTAGACCGTATCAAAAGCTTTGCTAACATAAGAACGGCCGTACTGGGTCAGACCAAAGGTCCATCTGCCGACTGTGGCCAGTACCAGGTGCCCCAGAAAGGGTGGACCGAAGACAATGATCAAGCGATTTGTCTCCTGCCATCCTTCTCCATTCTCTGACAAACAGAGGCCAGGGACACCATGTCTATCCCCTGGCTAATACCCCTTTATGGTATATCACATCCACTGACTTCCTCATATCCACAAAGTCAGTTACCTCATCATAGAAGCTAATCAGATTGGTCAGGCACAGCTTGCGCTCGGTGAATCCATGTTAACTATTCCTGATCACTTTCCCCTCTTCAAAGTGCTTCAGAATGGATCACTTGAGGATCCCCCCTCCATGATTTTTCCAGGGACTGAGGTAAGGCTGACACATCTGTAGTTTCCTGGATCGTCCTCCTTCCCTTTCTTAAAGATGGGCACTACATTTGCCTTTTTCTAATCATCCGGGATCTCTCCCAATCTCCACAAGTTTTCAGAGATAATGGCCAAATGCTCTGCAATGACGTCAGCCAACTCCCTCAGCACCCTCGGATACACAAATCTATGAGTCCAGATTTCATGTATGTCTAGCTTTTCTTAGCCTGTTCTTTGCCCACCGAGTAGGGTTGCCAGATGGTTTAACCAAAAATATCGAACACCCCTCTCCCCCAAAAAAAACCCACTGGGGAAAAAATTCTGTTGGAAAAAAAAAGGGGGGAGACCAAAAAAGTTGTTGAGGGGGAAAAAAAAAGGACCCTGAGAGTTACTAAACAAAAAAAAAAATTAAAAAAACAGCATGGCCCCTTTAAGAAATGCCTTTGAGGCTTTTTGGCTTTAACAGGCAGCTGGCAGCCATCTTGTTTTCCTACTCTGAGCCAGAAGACAGCTCCCCTGCAGAACCAGGTAAGCGGGGTGGGCGGGGGAGGGAGGCTGGGCCCGTTTGCTCCGTGTGTGTAGGGTTGCCAGATGTGCAGTATTTTTGCCTCCTGGCAGGGAAAAAAAATTAGCAAGTTCTGGACATTTTAGGTGTCCGGTATTTTCTGAATGTTTTTACCAGACAGGAGGCAAAAATACCTGACTATCCGGGTCAATACCGGACACCTGACAACCCTGCCACCGAGGGCTGCCCACCTCCTCCCCGTACTGCGCTGCCTAGTGCATTGTCTGGGAGCTGCCCTTGTCCGTGAAGACAGAGGCAAAGAAAGCCTTGGGTTCTTCAGCTTTTCCCACCTCATCTTCTGGACACAAATTGCAGTATCACTGTCAAGCATCAGAGGGGTCGCCCTGTTCGTCTGAATCTGCAAAAGCGACGAGGAGTCCTGTGGCACGTTATAGACTAACCGGAGTGTTGGAGCATAAGCGTTCGTGGGCCATCTGACGAAGTGGGTCTTTGCCCACGAACGCTTATGCTCCAGCACTTGGGTTAGTGTATGAGGTGCCCCAGGACTCCTCGCCGCTTCTGCAGTATCTGTTACCCAACCTCAGGAAATTCCTTTGGCGTGTCACCATCAGTGCTCCCCTCTGGCCTGTCATGGCCGAATGCGCAGTGACCTTCTCATGGGGTCCATGTCTCCCTTTGGCCAATGCAGACTGTTCTCTCACAGCCAGGTCCATTGCCGGCATCATCCACCTCTTCAGTCTCCTTCGTCTTATCCAGAGCAGAGTCTACACGGCTCCCTGCCCAGAGCCCCCAGTGTGTTGGGGCATTGCTGAGCAGGGCTGGGGGCACCACCGTAGTGTAGCTCCAGGAAGGGCCAGGAGGAGATGGAAGGCATGTGTGCTGTCTCAGTGGGTGGCAACAGTCTCCAGCTCGCAGTGACAGGCAGTGCCCGCCTGGGCAGGGGGGACATCCCAAAAGCAAGGGGTTCCCGAGCAGGTAAAGCACCCTTGTGCTCTGGGTTTGCCCCAGTGCCCGTGTCCCATGTTTGAGTTCTGTCGCTGAGTCTCTTTGAAGGCCGTTGGGTCCCCGCTCCATGGGGCCCGGCACGACCTCAGGCACCGCCCCGGCTGGGGGGAAGGTGGAAATGGGGGTCAGTAAGGCCGTCGGAATACGGCGCACACACTGGGGCCGGTGGACCTGCCACGGCACCATGAAAGAGTTCCAGCATGGTCGCTCTGCAGTTCCCACTCCAGCCCAGCCCTTTCCCCCTCCAGTGCGAGGCTCGGACGCCCGTGTAGCAGCCTCCCGCCTGCAGCAAAGCCCCTTCTAGAGCCTCGTCCCCTACCCGTGTCTGACGTGTGTTTTTTTTTTTTTTTTGAAGCCGAGGAAGGAGCCGACGATGAAGAGGAAAAGCTGCCGAATGGGAAGGACAGAGGTAAAAGGAGAGCTTAGCTGCCTGTGCTTTCCCCCATGTCGCTCTGTGCCTGTCTGCAATTCCCCGCAGCCGTGACCCAGCGCCGCAGAGGCCTTGGACCAGCTTGGAGTGAGGCAGTGTAAGGGACACCTGCCCCAGACACCCAGCTGGGCCCAGCAGGCTTCTCTCTGCTCCTGTCGGCCACATGAAATGTTTCCTTTCCTTTTCTGCCTGGGCTTGGGACCTGGCCGCGCTGCGGGTTCCGAGGCCCCGGGACACGGGTGTTTCCGTATTGTCTGTCCGCAGCTGGCCACACCCAGGGGGCGCGCAGCGAGGGGGCTGCCCTGAGGGCACGAGAGGGATGAGAGCGACTTGTGTGAGGTTGAGAATAGGGCATGGAGGCCGAGCGGTGGGGGAAGCGCTGCTGCCCGTGAGGGGAAGCGCAGAAGCCTTGTTGGCTGAGGCATTTAGGACGTGTCTGAACACAGGACTCTGCAGCATTCTGCACAGGTGGCAGAGTGGGGCCTTCCAATAGCTCCCTTCCCATCTCCAGTCCCGCGGCTCTAAGTGTAGAAAATACAACCCCCCCCCCCCAGCTCTTCCTGTGGTGTGAGAGGCTGGGAAGTAACATGGGCCACTGTTGTGCGGGTGAACTCGCCACTCCTGGGCAGGGGCTCGGCGCAGAGAGCGCCCAGCGGAGCGTGTGGGGTGGAATAGCAGTCAGTTTGGGGGCTCGCCCGTCCCCCCCTCAGATTACTGACCAGAAACCCCCTTGCATGGTGCTGCCACCCCCGCTTCTCCATTGTCAGGAAAGGACCGAAGAGTCGCTGACTCCGGGTCTGTTCTCGACCCAGAAGGTCGGCGTAAGGCCCACAACCCCGGCTCTGCGAATAACGTTACCGTAAGCCGAGCTCGGCGCCGTCCCCACAGCAGCTCGATGAGAGCAAATGCTCCCGTCGGCTTCCCTTACTCCTGGCCAGCTAGCGCTGACCGGGGGCACCCTCGGCGGCGGATTTAGTGGGTCCGCACTAGACCCACTAAACGGGCCAGAAAATGGGTCCCGGCGCGGCAGGGGGGGACGTAGTTGAGGCTGTGCTCGCGGTGCGGCCCTGATCTGCATGTGGAGCTGCTTGCTCACGTTCCCGCGCTGTAGAGTAAGGGACAGAGATGTGGATTGGACAAGAGTAAGTCCAAACACTTGTGTGTCTGTGACGGCGCGTCGGGGACCCCGACCCTGCACCCCATCCGCAGCCAGAGGGGACTCTCCGCCGGCCAGTAGAACAGAAGGTTTGTTGCTTCTCCGAGATCCAGCCCAGCACAAGCTCAATGTTGACCCAGGAGGATGGGCAGAGCCCTAGTTCCCTTGTGGGGTGGGGTTCACAGGCCCCTAAACCCCCAATACTGGTCTTCGTCTGCTTCCTCCAGGCTTCCCCACACTAAGCCCGCCCCCCCAGTAGCCACACCCCATCCTCTCTTCAAGCCCCTTCCCCTGGCCAGGTGTGAGTTGCTGGGCCATGGCCTACGTGCCCCCCTCAGGGACTCCCCCCGGACTGTGCCCAGAGACACCCCCAATCTCTGCAGAGCAGCATGGGCAGCAGGGGTCACCCCAGCCCAACACGGCCACCAGTGACTGCCCGACCGGAGCGGGCCCAGGGCCACAAGTGTGTACAGCCCCCCCAATCACAGTCTCACCACTGCTGAGCTTTGCCCAAGTTGGACTTTTATTCTTTATCGTTCCTGGCACCTTGTCACTGCCTGCTTCTGGCTGGGAGGGAAGGGCTGTTCTCACACACCCGTCAGCCCCAAGAGGCTCTGAGAAGGCGTTCCCCTTTCTCAGGCAGCTCCGATTGTGCCTTGTTACCCCTCCCGCCCCGCTCCAGTGTGGTAGCTCTGTACAGCACCAGCCTGCAACACTCAGACATGTTCCTCGGGACTCTGCCAGGCCTAGCTTGCTGTGCAGGTTACCTTGAGGGCACCCAAATCCCCACACTCTTTTGAAGAGCGTTCCCCTGTAACAGCCTGTCGCTGGGCGCTCAGAAATGACCAGGCAAGCGGCCAGCCAAGGAGGCGCACACCCGGAAGGTTATGATTCAGGCGTCACACTTGGCCAACACAGCACTGCACTCTGTCTCTAGTAAACCCAGCTGTATTTCCTGACGCAGACAGATTCAAGCTCGTGCTGAGTAAGAGAGTGAAACCCAGAGCTCCGAATACAGCAGCAGTCAAATCTCGTTCTGGAGATGAAGGGTTTTCTACCCTTCGGACGGGCACAGGCCCCTGCACAGCTGTAGCACCTCAGTGCAGGTGTTACTGGCGACGGTGGGAAGAGTAATCCAGGGGTGTCGGTAATTCACCTCCCTGAGAGGCAGTGCCCAGGCCGATGGAAGAATTCTACACAGGGTAGTAGGGCAACTTCATTGCGCTGCCCAGGGGGTGGATTTTTCGCATACCTGACTACTTAGTTAAACAGACCGAATTTGCTAATGGAGGCCAGGCCTAAGACTTACTAGGCTACAACCCTAGTCGAACGCAGTCTCTCTCCCTCAGAGTCCTCCTGCAGTGTGCTGCTTTCCATTCCGTCCCTCAGCTCCATCCCCATCTGCCAAAGGGGTCCTCCGTGGCATGGCTCTTGCTTTCCATTGCATTTGCCAAAGTCAGTTCTGTGTTGCCAGAGTCAGGATGGCTCCCTGAGGGTCAGACTCTGGGGGGCTCACATGGGGAGTTCACCTCCCCCATCCACCTGTTTTTGCCTGTTGGCTTTACATGTGAATTGGGCTTGCTGTGCGTCATCTGTGCAGAGCTTAATTGAAACCAGAGACGGGTAGCTGGAGAGCTGCGCTTTTGTGAGGCCTGTTTGTCGGCTCTGCCTCGGCACAGACGTTAAAGCATGATTTCTAGGCACGTTTCCTCGGGCCGTGGCAGTACGTAGGCTTCCCAGTAGTATTAGTAACCTGTGTGTCTTGGGCTTTCGCGTGACACCCTCCAGGCACTTTTGGGTGAAAGCCATGAAAGCAGGTGAACAGTGCGCTGCAAGTCCTGGTACAGAACAGCGAACCCTCTTCCAGTTGGGCTTATGGGGGCTTTAGGGTTACAGGAGCAACCAGATGTTTGGGGCTTCTCTGAATCCTTCGGGGCTTCCCCTGATTGGCTGAAATGAAAAGCTTGTTTGGGCCTCGGGGGTTTCTTTTACTAACCAAAACACGTCTGACTTGAGGGAAATCACCATTTTTGAAGGTAGCGTCATGTTGGCTTTAAATCACACAAGACGCTTAGCCCTGGAATCTTCCTCCTTGATTAGATATTGTGGATGTTCAGCAGCTGTTCGCTCCCTTTTCCAGATGTGCCTTGCGTGGGAGCGAGGGGGGAGAGGGAGTCGGAGGATCCTGGGAACTGTAAGCAGGAGTTGGAGTCCGCAGCCTTTCAGTTTAATCAGCATTAACCTGCTTCTTGTGGCCTACACGCCGCTCTGTGTAAGCTGTGACCGTCTAGCATGCCAGTTACCATCGTGCCCCCAGGTACATTCCGCCCAGTTTGTACACAGTGTGCCCGTGGCTAGTGCGTGAGTCGACAGATCCCCCATCCTTCCTGGATCGCTGGGCTGCCAGGAGAGAAAAGGTGGAGGAGGTAATCTGCCAGGCTGGCTCCCAGAGATCCCCTTGTGCCTGTCGCTTGCTGTGGAGAAACTCCACAAGCCAACCTTCCTGGGCAGCCCGGTGCTCTGAGCCAGGCCCGCCGGTCGCCTCCTGCGCTGACGCAGAGATGGGGCTGCAGCCCCCAGCAGGGCAACACAGACACTGAGAGCCGCTCCGCTCCGGGAAGGCTCAGTCCCAGGGGCAGAGCCCCCCCGAACTGTGCAGACAGGGTAACGCAGGGCAGGCAGTGCGCCCCCGTAAGCAGAGAGGTGCGTGGCCGCCCCCCGCCCCCAGGCAGCAGTTCCTTACTCTGGGCTTGGAAATGAACCACAGTGAGGTGGTGGAGTGTGAAAAGGAGGGTTTAATGGGCGTAAGTAATAGCACAGAACAAAGCTACTACGCAGATCTCACACCAGCTGAGCTCAGTGTGCTATTAACGGGCCCGTGGAGTCTCTCGCCCTCCGTTACTCTGAGAAGCCTCTTTCCAGACTGGCCCTTCCCCTGTTCAGGCTCAGAGGGTCCCAGCATCATCTTGGGGTGTCCTGACATCCGGCAGAGGCGTCTCTGGGGGCTCCCCCCTTACATAGATTGTGCAGGAAGCAGGAAGGCTTTCTCTGTTGCCAGCCTCCGTGTGGGGAAATACCGACTTGCTGATGGACTCCCATGTTGGGTGCCCTAAGGACAGGTTCTTGTGGGGGCCGTAGCCCCTTCCGCGGGCTGGCTCCTAGGAACACCTAACCCATTCGCCGCTCCTTGTCCTGATCAATGAGCCACTGATTTGGGAAATACCCTTCGCAGCCCTCACTCGGCATGTTTCCACTTCACTGTGCTAACTTCAGCCACAGCCTGATCCCTGATTGCAGCGTTCCAGCGAGGTGTGACAAGGGGTATTGCAGGCTCCACAAGGCACACGCTGCCGCCTCACAGCTCGTGGCACCGGCCCTGCAGGCCCAACAGTCTTCAGCACACACAAGGCCTGTCTACACCAGGAACTTCTTGCAAAGGCGTAGCTCCCGCAATGGTCGTTTCCAGCGAGCGTGTCCGCACAAGGCGTGTGAGGGGCCCCATTGTTGTGGGCGCGCCCCCCTGCCCTCCAGCCCCAGGAAGCGCTGGGGGTGCTGAATGAATGGCTCTGGGGATTTCCAAATAGCAGGGTCGTGCCGGAGCGGCTGCTCGGCCACTGTTCCAAAGTGGCAAGCAGGAGTTGTTTGGAGCTAACGCGCTTGGTGGTGGGGAGGCTCCGCTGGCTATTTCGAAATAAGGGCACAGCCAGCACAGGTTGGACCTCCCTGGTCCGGCAGCCTAAGGACCTGACTGGCCCCGGATGAGGGATTTTGCCATTTCTTGGCCTCACTGCCAGCTTCCCCCTGCCGCCAGCCCCTCTGCACACAGGGCTCCAGGCCCCACCGCAGCAGCCCTGC